TAGTAATCTCTTAATTTATTATACTTTAATATAATAAATTAATTTATTATACTAGTAGTTAAGGACAAACTTAAATATATTTTAATTTGCAAAATAATTATTGATCGTTTAACATGTATCAATAGTATTAATAATTCTTATAGAGAAATAATAATTTAAAAAAAAATAATATATATATAATTACATTTTTTAGGAATTTGGCCACATTTTGTTAGCTGTAAGCTATCTACCCACTGCAGAAAGGCTAACTATTAACATTATGAAATTACGCGATATTAAATTTATATCAACTGGGTTGAGTTTAAATGAATTTAGTAAGTATTATCACAATACTAATATTTTAGGAAAATTATTGGAATTAGTACCAAAAGACGAAAATAATGTGCGATATATATTTTACACGAAATAGCTAGAAAAAACCAGAAATATTTTCTTCTTCTCATATGTATCTACTAATGGATATTTGTACATTTTCCATTTCTTCTCCATTGCCATATGGATTAGAGCTTCTACTTTTTTGGACTGTGTCCAATATCTTATGTACAACTTTGCTTCCGCCGTTTTTTTCCGAAATTCGAGGCTTTATTGTAAAAAACTGGTTATACATTTATGATTCAAAGTATTATCCATCGTTGGCCACTACTTTCTCCCATCTTTCGGGTAGCGTACGAATCCCGCGTCGAAAAAACTGGTCAACTTTTGAGGCTATCCACGAATCGATCCAATTTTTTACTTCTTCATAAGACCGGAAGTGCTGGTCAGCCAGGCCGTGTGCCATTGATCAAAACAAGTGATAGTCAGAGGGAGCAACGTCTGGAGAATACGGCGGGTGGAGTAGGACTTCCCATTTCAACGTTTCCAAGTATGTCTTGACCACTTTCACAACATGGGATCGAGCACTGTCATGCTGCAAAATTACTTTATCGTATCTCTTTGTTGTATTGCGGCCGTTTGTCTTTCAATGCTCGGTTCAAACGCATCAATTGCGTTCGATACCGATCGCCTGTGATTGTTTCAGTCGATTTTAACAGTTCATAATACACTACACCGAGCTGGTCCCATCAAATACAGAGCATGACCTTGGAGTCGTGAATATTCAGTTTGGCCGTCGACGTGGAAGCATGGCCGGGAACTCCCCATGATTTTCTGCGCTATTATCGTAATGAACCTATTTTTCGTCCCCAGTTACAATGCGATGCAGAAATCCCTTCCGTCTTTGCCTTTCAAGCAGCTGTTCACAAGCAAACAAACGCCGTTCAACATCTCTCGGCTTCAATTCGTATGGCACCCAATTTCCTTGCTTCTGAATCATTCTCATGGCTTTGAGGCGTTTTGAAATGGCTTGTTGAGTCACTCCCAATGATCGTGCCAATTCTTTTTGATTTTGACATGAGTCTTGCTCAATGCCTCCAATTCTGCATCTTCGAAAACCTTCTCTCTTCCACCGCTATGCCGGTCTTCGACGTCAAAATCACCGTTCTTGAAGCGTTGAAACTACTCACGACGTTCTTCCACTAATAGCGGCCTCACATAAGTTTTTTGAGAGCATTCGATGAGCCTCAGCCGCAGATTTCTTCATATTGAAGCAAAAAATTAAAATCTCCCGCAAATGACGAGAATTTGGCTCGTAAACTGACTGATTTTCAATCGAGAATAACTTTATGCAGACACAAATCGACTAATGTTTCTATGGGGTTATGTTGACAGATGCCCAAGTTTATTGTATGACATCTATGATCTATTTATTTCGACCACCACTTACCGCTAAAGCCATCTATAGGAAAATGGCGGAAGCAAAGTTGTACACCTAATATATTCCGAAGTTTTTCCGACTTATTTCTTCGATACTTCCTTCAATATAATCAGCTATAGTCGTTTGATGTCTTGTGTTATGCATGATACATTCAAGGTATATTTCTCTTTTTTATTATGAGTATCTCGGCTTCTGTTTATTCTCAGAAAGTGACTCATTAGACCTTACTGTATTTTATCTTAAGAGGATGCTGGAGTGACGAACTTGATTGACATCCATAATACAGATTTTTTAATTTCAAATAAAAAAGTCGATAATGGTAATATCTTTAATTCATTTCTTATATTATCGTTCTGTCTCACTCATTTGTTAGTCATCGCGATTGCCAATGAGAAATAAACAGTTTGTTTCAAAAAAAAAAAGAAAAGGGGAGAAAGAAAGAGGAAGTTCTAATACATTAAATTGTTGTTGGCATTTCTGCGAATTGATCGTCAATTAATTTAAATTTCCTTTGAAGCATGGTGGTAATCCACCTAAACTTCTTTAGATCATTCTTTTTGGTCATTTATTTTTTAATTGACGCATTTAGGTTTGATTTTTTTGATTTTGTATTTTCCTGGTGTCTTAGAAGTAGAAGACTATTTAAAAAATAGTTTAGTAGTCCTTATTATTTATTGTAACAGTTTTATAAATAAACAAAGAAAAAAATCCTTTTTTTACAAAAAAATTTATTTTTGACCAGATTTTTTAACATTTTAGTTTGAAACTTCGTGTAAGGCATTTTGTGCTAATTACTAATTGGATTTCCAAAATTCAAAATTATTAATTCAAAATGGTAGAAGCAAAATGCTTAAAAAAAATATATATATATAAGGCTCTCGCGAAATAAAAATACAATGAAAAAATGGGTAATAAGCGCGTCAATACAGCGCGGAAATTAATGCGCAATTATGACATCGACATTGTTCACAACTTGCTGATGGTTTGAAACAAAACGTAGAAAGAAATTTTGTATCGTCATGTACAATATATTATGTGAATTAGTTATAGTGAAATTCTTGTTATAATTTTTTCAATTTCCGCGCTGTATTGATGTTCTCGTTACCGAAATGAATAAATTGAGTTTTACAATTTTCAGAAATCCTTCCAAAATTCATTCATCCAAAATCCTTCCAAAAATTTATTTCAGAAATTTGGATCTCTTTGAAATTCATAATTTAAACCCTTCAAAGTCTTAGAATTTAAATTTCATACACAATTCACTTTAAGAATTTTTAATCCACCATTTTGAATGCAATATTTTTATATTTTGACTTTGGACTCGTAATCAGCGACCGGAAAAACTCCTGTATATCAAATTTCACAGAAAAATGTATACTTCAAAGGGTTAACTAAAAGTTAGTGAAAGATATCCTATAAGTAAAGTTTCGATGTCCTATAAGTCAATTGTTTAATAAACAGGCTACATTCCAAAATCTATCGAGAGAAAAGTCTTGTAAGTCTTTGTAGCTGACATGTATATAGAACGATTGCAACACTTCTTTTTCAAAGAGTTTCAGAACTCAAGGTTGTCACTCGGCTGATTAGTCCATTGGAATTGACCAATCACATCTGCCGTCAAACGAAATGACAAAGCAATTGGTCAATTTCAATGGATTAATCAGTTAATTAAATTAATCGGAGTTTGGTTAAAGTAAGCCCTTAGCCTTATTCATAGATTGATTGAACGCAAATGATTAGGTCTATAAGTAAGAATTAATCATTCGGTCAGCAGATTTCGAAAAAATCCATCGAAAAAAACCACTTTTTTCCACGACTGTATGTGTACTAAACAATTGTCAAAAATCACCTAACAAATCACTCTATGTACTATGCAATTATCCGGAATGATTTTTTTCTCTAGAAAAATTCTCTAGAAAATAAAAATTTAAGAAATTAATAATAGAATAATTCTGATTGGAATCCATTCCAAATAATTCCATAATACATATGTGCAGATATTAATATATTATTTAGCATCATTAAAATCTTTATAAGATACCTATAAGCAAGTTATTAAAAGGCTAGGTAATTTAATTCATGATATTACTACTGTAGTTCAATCGGGTTTGCATTTCAAGACAAAAAAATCAATTCAGCGTGCAATTTAAATGATTACATAAGTAGTATATAAATTCACATAATATTATTTAAGCATGTAAGAAAAAATCAATTTAGCACATTAAAGGATTTCTTTCTCTTCTTGTATTTTCAGATTTATGTCCTAGAAACTTTTGTTTAATGGCTGCGTTCGGAAACGTTGCTCGGGTGCCTCCGATGTCTCGGATTCATTATTTGTCATTATTTAACATTTAATGTTAAATCAGAGGCATCCGAGCGACGTTTCCGAACGCAGTCAATATTGTTCATAATACGTACTGTACTTATATATACAGGGTGTCTGGAAATAATCGCTAAATGTTTCATGGGCAGATAGAGCGGACTAAATTGAGTCGAAAAGTTCTCTATCATTTTGTAAGTTTCCCCAATAGTAACGAGATATTTATCCTTAAAGATAGCCGAATATTACTGCGAAATGTATGCCTACCGATCGCTTGGCGCGCGGGCCGTGGGGAGCGGGGATAGCCTGGTAAGCGCGCCGTCCAAGCTATGGAAACTTGCGGCGGTATGCGCCAAGCGATCGGTAAGCATATACACTTCGCAGTAGTAGGTGGGATGAGCGCGCGGCTCTCATCATTTTTCGGCTATCTTTAAGGATTAATATCTCATTAACTATTGGGGAAATTTACAAAATGGTAGAGGACTTTCGACTCTTAGTTTAGTCCGCTCTATCTGCCTATGAAATATTTGGCAATTATTTTCAGACACCCTGTATAAGTACTTATACTTATATACTTACTACTTTATCTTCTAATGTACTATCTACTTTATCTTCTAATGTACCCATTATTACTGTGATTAATATAAAATCGAATAGTTTCATAACATCTATCACGAAAGTTTATATACTATTCAATAAAATTAAAAGACTATTTGAAATCAGCGCTAAAAAAGATCGAAATTCAAAGTTACAAGTCTTTTATTAATTAATCAATATCTTTAATAATAAACGATTAATTTTTTTATTTTGAAG